ATGTTTTAAGGATATATTAGGACTAAAATCCAATAATAAAACTACACAAATCAAAATAACGTAAATGGTAGCAATTATGAATGAATGAATATGTGTGCTGTGCAATAATGGGGAATGGAATAAGAGAATTCTTATTTCCTATCAACATTCAATAGAACACATTCAATTTGACAAATTCTTATTATTTTTCAAGCAAATTTTGCACAAAAAAAAACAGGGGGAAAAAATGAGAAAAATAGGAAAGAAGTAAGGAAATAAAATGGTGAACAATATCTAAACTGTCAAACTAAAAAGATTTCATTTTTAAAAATTTTTGCTGCGACATTATTTACATATTTGTAAAATGGACCGAATAAGTGCAATAGTTTGAAAATTCATTCAAATACTTGCAAATAGTTTAATTCTTTTTTCAAAATAGTCATAGTGATAAATTGACAATTATATTAAATAATGTTAATGAGAAAAGTATTCAGGAAAAAAAAGAAAATTAAAATTTATTAATGAAAAACACTTCAATTACTTACTGTCTTCATACTATCTTTCACAAATCTAACATGATTTATCTTCATCCTAACCAAATGATATCTCAAATTATAAAATGAAAATCGCTTACTGTGAGGCATCATAAAAGTAGATAATAAGAGAACCGATAGATAGAACAAATACCAATACGACCAAAATTCGGCCTGTCATACTTTGGCCTGATATTAATTCACCAGCCCAATCTTTTGCTTCTGTCATCCAACCTATTTGTACTTCTTCTTGTTTGATAGCAATACCATCTAAATCACCTTTCAATAATTCATGCTTTCCTTCATCCTGAAATGACTATGTAATAATAATAACCTGAAATGATCAGTAACAAAACAAAAACCTGAAAAAAAACCAAATCCTGTCCACATTTCACAACATATACCCGATTTTATTTACCTCAAACATTAAATTTAACTAGTATTAATTTTCATCTTTCATTCAATTTATCATTAAACAATTGCCAAAACTTAACAAAATTAATAATACAAAACAATATCAGTTAAAGTAAGACAAAAAGAACATTAACGTAAACAAATACATAAATAAACAAATTTCGAGAAAGTAAAATAATAAAAAACAAGAAAAAAAAGTTCACCTGGTCAAATACAGCATCAATTTCATCCCGTTCTCTTCGTTGACAAAAAATATGTGCTATAATTCTCCAAATAACAACCAGCAACATCGAT